CGGGCGGGGGAGGGGAGGGGGGGGGAGGGAGCGCGCCTTTATTATAGCCGCGCGCTTCTGCCATACCCCCGGCGCTCGAGCCAGAAACTCGGCGCTGCCAGGGATCGCCAATACCAATTTTGGAACGCGCCAACGTCGACCGAAATTCACAAACGAGATCTCGGAATTAGCAGGGAAAATGTGGGACCGCGCGGCTCGATCGATCTCTCGAAAAATATCAGGAGGGCAGCAGGAGCGCGAGATTAAATGTATTTATGTACATTACGTCGGGGAGGGTACAGAAAGAGAGAGAGAGAGAGAGAGAGAGAAAACTCGGGGGATGGTGAGGCGGAAAGGGGGTGACGCATTACGCGCGGACGACGCGAAACGAGCGTGGGCGGGTAATTTAACGAGAGGCGCCGTATTATTTTCGAATGGGACGTAAGGACGCTACGCGAGAGATATCCGCGCTTCTCCGCTTGCGTCTTGCGCTTTGCAAGCACGAGTCTCGTGGAAAATGAATCTAACGAGAGTACCTGGTGGACTTTTGACATTTCTTCCAAGTTATTCGATAAACTGCGCCCTCTCTTATACAGACAGCATCCTACGCGTTCAGCGTCTTTTATAAAATAGAGTTACTAAATTCTTTAATCAATTTAAAACAGCGACTCTCTTATAATACTTTAAATTACTCTTTTTATTTACTTCTTAATTTTAATTTTATTTTAAATTAATACATATAGATTTGAAATCATTGTCAAATCATATACTTGATAGCCGATAAAGCGCGATTTGATAAATAAGTCTAGTAAAATAGAACGGATATTCTAAAATTATGTAACTATATATACATTGGTTTTGCTGTATCGGTTCGATATTCTCGAAGGCGGTTCGGATTGCATTGGTAAAGAGGAAAATTTGATTTACAATGGTTAACATTGCGGTCCTAAAACGCGCGCTGCATTCGACATTAATCAAAATAAGCCAACCCTCTGATTATATGCCCGATGAAGGTTTTCACAAAATAATCCTACAATCTTAATGATCTTTTTATATATTGCAATTGTCATGACGATAAGCAAAATTCGGGTAATATATTTTCTACATGCGCATGCACGCGCTCATGAAAACGGGAGGATTAAACGAATTTCCTTTAAAATATTTAATAAGAACAAAATAGAACAATTGAAAGGCTAAGCGAGCCAGTTATGTAATGAAGAACGTTTAATTTGAAACACAAAGATAAAAACAATTTTGCAAACGTTTCGACACCGATCGGGTCATTTTCAATGTTACAGTAAGTACATTATTATAAAATAATTGGAAATCTACAATATTGCTACATAGTGGTATTCTCATTTTCTTCCCATTATCATAATGTTGTAAGTCAATAAATTAAAATAGTAAGATTAGTCATAGAAAAATTCATGGCAGTAATAATCTAAAAAGCGACCGTTAACAAAGAAAAATTAATGCAATTACAGAGCCTTATTATTATTTATTATTTTAATAAGAACGTTTTTGCTAATCTTGATAATTATAACAAAAAAGAAGCAACGAAAAAACAATTTATGGTAATTTTAGTATAATTTGAAGTTTCTATATCACGTATCGTTTTAAAAAGAACCAATGCATTTATTCACTTTTTACATTATTTGACAACGATTGCAACGTATAGCAAATTGTTGGGATTTATCATATCAAATTTGATCTCGTTTCATTGTTAAATGTATTTCAAATACAAACATTTTCATTCTGATCGCTTAGCGCCACATTAACGGCGGCTGATTGGAATTGAAGGGTAAATCAGATTGAACCCGAAAACCCGTTTCTTAGAGAAAGTAGTGATCGGTTATGAACATAACTGTTCCGGGACAATCAGAAAAGTTAATGAAATTAATCTGAGTAAATGAAAGTAACTTGTTATTATCGTTTGAATTTTTAATTTAGAATTTATCTCATGTTTTTCACATTATCTCATCCTTAGCTACTCTTTTTTTAAATTAATTATATTATTATAAAATATTTTGTATAATTAATAATAAGAAATTAATTGGAAAAAAGCGGGAGAGAAAAGAAATCGACGTCAAGAAATTAAACGCGACTCATCGTAGATTGTTCTCTAGAAGTTTCTGCCTAGAAGAATACAAAAAACAACTAAACCAAAAAAACTAAAAATGATTACGAAATAATTAAAATAAATACAAAAAAATTGCAAGATTTTTCACGACAAAAGATTTAATAATATTTACTTGATTTATCACATCTATTTATTAAAATATTTACAAAATATCTTTTTAATGTTTTTTTAAATGAGCATTTAAGTTTGTGAAGAATAATAATAATAAGTAAATAATGATCTCTGATAAAACTTTTTCTTTTTATATATTAATTCTTATATGTTTTAATACATTTTTAATTTTATTTTATAATTTTATTTTATAAATATCTGAAAGAAAACAAGCAGAAGAGAAAATAAGATAACAAATTTTTTTTATATTTTGTAATTTTAAAATAATTTCTGTGTAACGTACTTTTATTTATTTCATAAAATAATGAAAAGAATTTTGACAATAGATGATTATTTCTCAAAAGCTTATTAAGCGAATTAATGCTAATGAGGAAACTTGAGTTTTCTCATATAACAATCATA